GCATTCTAAAGTCTATATAAATAGGGTAGCAGGACTCTAGAGGGTGGTTAAGGGCTTAGCTATCTTAGAGAAGTTTTCCACAAATTGCTAGTAGAATCTAGTAAATCCTAGGAAGGACTTTACTCTAGTTATCGTCTTAGGAGTGGACTAGTTTTAGAGTACTTTAACTTTGTTAGGGTCCACCTCTAAGCCTTTGTTAGTTAGGATATAGCTAAGGTAACAGGTACAGGTTGTATAGAATTTGCTTTTCTTAATATTAGCCTGTAATCTAGCAGAACAAAGACGCTTAAGGACTTTTTTAATATAGTCCTTGTAAGTAGCAAGGTTTTTAGAGTAGATTAGGATATTATCTAGATAGGCAATATAGAAGTTATCTAAATAATCTATTAGTATATTATTTATATACTACTAATAGGTTGCAGGTCTATTATATAGCCTAAATAGTAGGACTTTGTATTTATAGGCACTATACCTAGTGCAGAAAGTGGTGTACTCCTCTAAGTTAGGGTCTATTTAGATCTTATTAAAGGCAGCACAAATATCTAGCTTAGTAAAGATTTTTGCTTTAGCTAGCTAGGATAATAGATTATCTATACAGGGTATTAGATACACGTCCTTTCGCGTTAAGCTGTTAAGCTTACAGTAATCTATATAGATCCTAAGGCCTCTATTTAGCTTCTTAACGCATAGGATAGGAGAGGCGAATAGGCTCTAACTAGTCTTAATAAAACCTTTCTGTAGGTGCTCTTGTATATATTCCTTAGTAGCCTAGAGTTCCTTAGCATTTTAACAATAGAGGGGACTCTAGTAGTTTAGAAGGGGTTCCTTTAGGACTATCTTATAGTTGTAAGGCTAGTAGATTAGAAGTTTATTAGCCTTAGCCTTATTAAAGACGTCCTAATAGGAGTTGTAGTTAGATAGAAGCTTCTAATCTAACAAGCTATGTTTAAGAGTATCCTATTTAGATAGGGTTTAGATCCTACGCTTAATCTTATATAGGCTAGTAGTAAAGAATTTATTAGAAGATTTTTTTATATTAAAATAGAAAGCATTAGCAGAAATAGTAGCAATTTAAAATTTTATAGGTAGGGTAATAGTTAGTAATTAGACTAGGGTAGGTAGCATAATAGGTTTGGTAGTAGTCCTATAAGCGGCTAGAATTTTAAGTATACTACGTATCCTATTAATTAAACTAGGACTATTTTAGTTCTAGTTCTCCTCTTAATCCTAAAGGGCGTCTCTTCGCAAGATATCGTAGGTAACTAGAGTAGATAGCACTTGCTAGTAGAGTTGTACTAGAATTAGAGGAGTGGGGTTATAGGTTAGAGGATATTTCTCTAGCTAGATTAGTTAAGATTTATCTATATTAATTAGGATTTAGAACTGTTTTAGCTAGTATTATCTAATAATATAATCCTAAGAACCTAAGTCTACTATTACAAAGGGGTAGTTATAAACCTTTTAGCTACTAACTATTATATAAAGCTAAATATAGTAAGCAACTAGGGAGGTAATCTAATCCTAGAACCCTTTAATAGTAAGCTTATATAGTAGCTTTTAGATAGGTACCCTAAGCGTAGAAGAGATATTATAAGTAATTTTTAAATTAAGAAATAAGTAACCTTAGGCCCTAGTATCTACTAAAGTGTTTAGGCAAACACTAGATCTATTAAGGTATAGGGTTATACGTGCAAGTAAATAAGAACTAATAAATAATTTAGTTAAGGAAAGGTTTAACAGGTTATATTAAGTTAGGCCTAGGAAGGAGGATCCTCCTAGGCGTTGTTGTTTCCTGTCTAATAGCTATCTGAATTAGTTAATTTAGCAGTTTCTTCTTCCTTAGAATTCTTAACACCCTATTCTATATCTATAGCCTAAATCCTAGGGGGTTTAGGGTAGTTACTAGAGAAGTGCCTAGGCTTTCTATAATTATAGCAAGTTACTAGGATTCCTATTGTAGTAGCGCTAGGAGTAGCTAGCGTAGTAGATAGGGGTTAATTATTTTAAGAGGTAGTGCCTTATTATTACAAATAGGGTATATAAGGTTTAGCTATTAAAGGTCTATTATAGGGTTTCTAATTAGCGTCTAAATAGGACTAGTTTCTAGAGTGTTAGAAGGGAGTTAGTCCTTTTCTAGATAATAGGGTAGTCTAGGTAGGAGTAGATAAGGTAGGGTATAGGCGGCGTTCTATATTAAAAGCAGTAAGATAATCTACTATAGTCTTAAAATTATTATACTAATTCTGTTAGAAAGTAAGGTTTAGCATCCTTAGGGAAGGTGTAATCTTTATCTAGAGGTAGTAATACTACTCTAATTAGGGTACTTCTCCTCTAATAGCAAGACTCTAGAATTATAACTTAAAGGCAGGGAATATCTCTATATTAGTTATGTACAGGTAGTTAAATGCAGTCTAACTCTTAGCTATCTTATTTCTAGTAATAAAGTAGGTTTAAAGGAGGGTAATTATTTCCTTAGCTTTTTAGAACTAAAGGCTTAAGGAATTAGATAGGTAACGTGGCTCTAAGTATTCTCTTACTAGTCCTAAGCAGTGTCCCTAGACTAACGCTATCTAAGCTCTAGAAGAGGGGTAGTAATTAGCGTTAATCTCTAGCCTATCCTAAATAGATACTTACTATTATCTAAAAGTAGGATTAGCACTATTACTAAGTATAGAGATATTTAGCGTCTTTTTAGATTATCTCTTAGCTTTTATAGCATATACTATAGGGTTTAATATAGAAGCTAAAGACTAGCTAGGTTAGGTAGTACCCTATATCTCCTTATAGAGGGAGGTGTTGTATAACTAATTAGTAAGTTGCTTAACTTATTCCTCTAACCTCTCCTTTTTAGATAGGGTTAACATATATTTATCTTTAAGGGAGGTGTTGCTTTAAGATTTCCTAGGAGCATAAGGTACCTTAAGAGATAGATAGGAAGCAGGTCCTTTAAGGAGGGCGTTATTAATTAAGTCTTCCTTATCTAATTTCTTTCTATTAGTAAATAGGCTTTTAAAAGTAGCTAAACTAGATGCCCTTCCTTTGCCTTTATCTAATATTTTGTAGTTAATAAGAATAATAAATCTTTTCTTTTCTTTTAGGGGGTTTGGTTATAGGAGGATATTAGCTTTGCCTCTAATTCCTCTAGGCTTTTAGTAGTCTCTGGGTCTCTACCTTAACGCAATCTAACGCAATTTTTCTAAAGGTAATCTAGCACTACCTATAGGTCTAGAAGTCTAAGCCTATAGGCTTTAGTTATTAGAAGTTCTAATAGCTGTTCTAACTATAGAGTTGCAGGGTTAGGTAGCTACTAGAACTAAATTAGTAGCTTAAAATAACAATAAGTGCAATATTCTTAAATACTATTACTAGCTAGGATAATATTCTTCTTATAATATAATAACTTAGGTAGGTAGGGCATCTAAAAGGTATCCTATATAACTTAAAGGTATATAGAAGTGCGCGTCTGTATAGAAAAGGATAAGATTCCTACACCTATAGGTCTTGTACGAAAGGACAAGAAGAACATGCCTATCCTAACTATAGGCGAGCTGTTCTCTATATACATTAGTAAGTCGGGCCTTTATTAGGCCTAACTTGGCATAGAACAATAGGCAGGCAATTCTGCCTTATTGTTACAATAAGATAATATACTATTACCCTCTTCTTCTATAATATTTAATAAGAGATGCTTATTAGCATGTACTATAGTATATTTAGCAATCTCTACTATTAGACTATTTATATAATAATAGCTATAGTATAACCTAAGGCCTACTAAAGTCTTAATTACTTGCTAGTGTACACCTAATCTAAGGAGATAGGCGTTAAGATAGGATAGTAGAGTATTTAAGGTCTTTCTATTCTAAGAGAAATATATTATACTTATAATTATAAATATATAGTAACTAATATAATTATTCTTATTTAAGCTACTATATAAGGAATAGTGTTAGTAGATATTTATAAGCAAGTCCTAGAGGAAATAAAACTAAGTAGGCGCGTGTTACTAGATAATAAGAGTTACACGCTTTACGTTAAGCTAATCTAATAATATATTAATTGTAAATTAACTAAATAGTAGGAAGTTTACTAGCCTAGCAAGTTTAGTCCTATAGTAATAAGCTATAAACGTGCTCTAGTAAATACCCTGCTCTGCAAGAGTCTCTAGTACTCTTGCTAACGCCCTCTAGCGATCTTTCTACTTATAGTATCTTTAATAGGATAGTTATATATCTACTTAGCTACTATAATCCTTAAGGCTAGCCTACGCCTCTACTATTTCTTTAAATAACTACCTAACTTATTAAAGCGTTTAAATAACTACTTCTAATTTAGTATGCTTGTTTAAATATTTATAACCTTTATAGCTACCTATAGGGGTTAGTATAGACTCCTAGCCTATATTACTACTAAAGATATCCTTATCTTTAGTACTATATATTATAGTAATATTTATTGCTAGTTTAATAGAGCTAAGATAGCCCTAAGATAGCGTATTAAGGGCTAATAGTATAGATAAGAGTAGGCTAGATAGTTAATTTAGAGGAGGGCTATATATCTAAGAAAACAAGCTAGGTATAGCTATAATATATATAATTAATAGAGAATATCTTAAATATTAATTTACTTATAGAGGCAAGACTATAATATATTATAGTAGATAGGATATATTAGGTTAAGTTATATACTATCTCCTTATATAACCTAAATCTAAGTATTACTAAAACCTGTCCTATTATTCCTTAGACGCTCTAGCGAGCTTTGCCCTGCGGCTAGCGTGATTAGTTAAGGAGTTTTTAGCGCAACGCTAATCCCTTTAGAGTTCCTAGGAGTTTTTAGCGTTGCACTAGCAGGGGTAAAAGCTTGTTAGAGCGTTCTGATGAATGAGATAAAAAACATAAGGTATAAGCAGCTAATGACGAGATGGAATATTTGAACGTTAAGATGAAAGAGGTCACAGCTTCATCCGAAACAACCGTTTGCTTGCTAAAAATGAAATAATGAAGGACGAAGTAAGTAGGTCTACCGGGTACAGAGTAATACTGCCCAGTTGTCAAAGAGTGAGATAAATGACGCAGCAGCCCTGAATAGGATGACATACAAGAGCTGTTGTCATTCGCAACCTCCACGCCAAGGATTGCATCTTCAAAAGAATGTGAGGCACTGCACAGATGCAATCAAGACAGGATATTGTGGCTGGATCAAGAAGTGTTGGTGACGATTTTGATGCCTGGTGGGCGAGGGAGCCTTGTGGATCAGCCAGTTGGCTACACGAGATCGTGTCAGTCAGGCTAGTCGCAAATTGTGGTCATTCGTTCAGCGATGATGAACTCAGTAACACGGACGCTACAAGATCTCCAAACCTGCATGTATATAGAAAATAAAGAACATTCTTCTTGCAGGCCTACAGCTGGAAAAATGGATAGCGTTTGATGTTCTCAGCGCCTCGCTATTCTTGTCGTGCGCAGCAGTCGCTATTCCTGTCCTTCGGTGGAACCTCGACATGTCTTGCCGAGCGATCAGGAGGCAGCGTGGAGAGCTGTGGATCCTGCCTGCAAACCACCCGATGTGTATGTACCATAGTGTGTCGTAAGTTGAGTCAATAAATTAGATGATGGTAGTCTTTCCTCACCAGAACGTGAGCCGTCCGATGAAGCAGAGCCCCTTGTAGCCGTCGTTCTTGCTGGCATTCCCTCATGCCATACCATGCAGATACCATGTACCGTAGAGCTTAACAAGGAATGCCCACATTCCTATATTAAGACTAGTTTGCTAGTTCTGTACATGTAGCTAATGTACCATAGATCCTGCTTAAGGCTGTATCAATTACATTGCCTACACTGTATTCTACCCCACAATTTTGAAAAGTAAGGGGCACACTACCAGTAGTGGATCCTGCTTCAAGCTATACTAAATTAGTGTTATATATACATAGTAATATCTCTGATCAGACTATTCTCGTCACCAGCATAGTGATTGTGATTCTGCTGTCGAGATAAAATGATAGAATACACATCCACACACACACACACAGAGAGAGAGAGAGAGGTGCCGACAGTCTCTAGGATAGATGCCTCAACGACTAATAAAGCTAGATCAAAGTAGGACCACAATAAGTCGAAATCCAAGTCTCCAACATGCCAACTTGGTGAGTAAACAGAACAACACAGCCATTGCGAAATGCCCCACGTGTGCTACTTTCAAGAATTGTGGTGTTCTTGTACCGGAGACTCGTTGTTTCACGTTTGCGGTTGCGGGATTAAGTTTGCGTAGGCTGCTGTTCATATGGTAATGGATCGTGATTTAGACGTCGCTTGACTTACTTTGTTGCACATTTTTTGTTTAAAAAGAATTCCTACACTATTCAGGCCAAGGGCACAAAGTCTTCTTGCTAGCTCTCACACGGTTGAAGCATCGATCAATGTGAATGTAAGGTAATAGCAATAGCAATATCGTCCTTTTTATCCGAAATGCTCTTCAATTTGATCAATCATACACTCCAAACCCTATCATATCCTCAATACGCCCCATCCCTCCTTTCCCACATCTGCCCCTTCACAGTCGCAATTTTCCCCAAGCCACTCCAAATCACCGCATCAGTCGTCAACTCCAAGCCCTCCACTTTTACGGGCTCACCATCGAGCCCCCACAGCGACAGCGCCACGTAGTTGATGCCTCTGTAATTCAAAATCCCTTCGTTAACGGGGAATTTAGTCTGCGGTCCGACGTTGCTGACAAACTTGCCATACTGCCATCCGTTGACGTAGAGCTGGACTCTGTATGCAGGAAAACTGGATCCAGCGCCCGTGCCGTTGGCAAAGGTAAAGGAGAGGGGGATGTCGTAGCCGGTGGGCAAGTCGAGCTTTAGCTCTGTAGCGAAGAATCCGATACCTGGGCCGGGGATACCGTCGATGACGGGGCCCTTGCTGGGTTTCCAGTCTACGCCTGGTGCGGACAGTGCGCCGGGGAGATGGAGTCCTTGTCTCTCGACGAAGAGGCCGCCTTCGTTGAGCGGACCGCGGGACAGGTCGAGGTAGTCTTCGCCGCCCAGGTTGCCGGTTAACTTCCACTTGATGTCTGATGCGTTGTGGCCTGTTAGAATGTAGTCGAGGACACCGCGTGGGTTCTTCATGGTTTCTCCGCCAACTACGTAGTTTTGGTCGAGACCTTGGTTATCAACGACAATTGTTATGGTGTAGGTCTTCCCCTTTGTCAATTTGGGAAGGGTAAATGTGGCGTTTCCCTGGTAAGCAGCGTCGTATCCGCGCCAGGAGCCGAGGAATTGGTCTCCAATCCAAGCGGACGACCCGAAGGCGCTGCCACCTTTTGTTGACAGGTAAAAGGTAGTCTCGTTACCGGTTGCGGTAAATGTGCCGCGGTAGAGCAGAGAGCCCGTGTGGTAGCCGTAGTCTGAGCTGTAGAGGGACACGGGGGTGGTGAGGGGTCGAAGGGAGTTGTAAGTCTTCTTCAGATCGGCTGTGGTCCACGCACTATCATCGTAGCCAGGCTTAATTTCAGGCAGGGAATCAAGGTATTTCCATTCAAGCTCGTTCAGCTGCGGCATGGCGATTTTGGGCATGGCAAATTCCATGTTGGCGCTGACAACGCCTTCGTCAGAGACCTTGAAGTCGAGGTCCTTGTCATTGAAAGTCAGCTTGGAAGGGGAAGCTGGCGCTCCTCCAATGATTTCAATAGGCGTGGTAGCATTGAGATCGCCAGTCATAGCCAAAATGCCGCCAGTGACCTGGGCAGTGCGCATGAGGTAGCCCGCCTTCAATATAACCGGGTTAGACGAATCGTGCGGCGCTTGGTCGATAGCCCAGTAGTTGTAGGCTTCGTTGCGGTCAAGCATATATACGTAGACATAGTTGCTTCCAACGCCAAGTTTTGCAACTTTCCTAGTACCGTCGGCCCTGAAGTTCAATACGGTGTATCCGCGCGTAGCAATGTTCTGGACATCGCCTTCGAGGACCTCGAGCCCAGTGATAGCTAGAGCAAGTTCATGGGTCTCCCCAGGGCCACCATAAACGATCAAAACAGTCTTGTCCGCATACTTGTGCCATGTGAAAATTTCGGCAGTAGAGTATACCAGGGTTGAACCGCCGATATCGTAATCGGTGACATGGACCTTGGAGTCACGGCCATTCAGAGACAAAGACGTGCCATTGATCTGCGGGACAGTGATATTGCCAAAAGCACTAGTCGAGATCTTGAGCTGGTAGCTCGTAGAATCAAGGGAATTGTACCTTGTATGCCTCACAAAGTAAAATTTGGTGCTGTTGCCCGAGGCGGGAGTGACTGACAAGGCAGTGGAAGTGGTCCAGGTACTATTCGAAGCATCTCCTCTCTTTGCAGTCAGATATGCGGGGCTGACTTTGAAGAAGTTGGCCTGTAATTTAAGCTCGGAATACTTCTCACGGTCCACTTGGCGGTTCTCTCTGATTGCCGCTGCGTAATCGTAGCTAGTGTAACCACCAGGATGACCCAGGTTTCCCCAATTTGTGCCACCGTACATCATGTACAGATTCAGAATTGTGACACCAAAGCTGTAGAGCTGCTTGTAGAAGACGCGCTGGAACTCAGCGTTGATCAGAGCGCTACATTTGTCAAAACCAGTCCCGCCCCAGGGATCGAAACTACCAGCCTGGAACTCAACAATAGCGTAGGGAGTGTTGGGACTCTGTGCCTCGTGCGCCTCTTTCCAATTAGTTGGAAACTGATCATCTGGCCACAGGGTTGGGTTGGCACAATCTATGTATCCACTTAGTCTTCGATGCTCAAGTAAAAGTTATATCTGACTTACCAAAACCAAGAGGATATCCATCATGGCCGTAAATGTCAACATCAGCAGGTCGACCAGGCGCATTGTGTCCAAACGTATTAGCATCATTATTGATCAGAGGAACAACGATACCAGCGTCCCTAATTTGATCTTCTACATATTGCATGTAGACTGGGTCTGGGAATGGCTTGATTGCAGGAGTTGCTCGTGTGTACTCATTCTCTGGTTGAACCAAGATGATTGGGCCGCCATTCGTTATCTGAGCTTTGGCGATTGTGTCACCAATATTCTTCATGTAGCTGTGGTGCATGAGCGACGACTTCTTTAGGATGATGGAGGTAAGCTTACTTGTCCGTAGCGCTGAGGAAGTCCGGTGCACTTGTTCTCAGTGTACCGTTAATTCTTTGGATCCATCCTGGGAAACCACCACCCGACGATTCAGCATTGATGTAGGGTCCTGGTCTCGCAAGCAGGTAGATGCCAACCTCTTGAGCAGCATCGAAAAATGGCTGCAGATCAAAGACACCCTCTGCACGATACTTGCCAGGCTTGCCCTCGAGCAATGCCCAGTCTGTGTAGAAGGATACACCATTGTAGCCAAGTGCTTTAATCTTTTGAAAGAGATCGATGTATAGGTCGGCAACCGGTAGACTGTACAATATAATGTCAGCAAGATATCATCTCCTTCTCCAGTGAGGGACAGGACATACCGGTAGGGATGTACTTCACCAGAGTACAAGAAGATACGTTCGCCATGTACGAAGAGTGAATGCTCATCCCAAGTGACCTGTCCAAAAGTGTCAGCACTTTCACTCCCCTTGCCAATTGCCAACTCCAAGAGCCTACAATATTCTGCAACGGCGCCCTCTTGTACGGCTTAATCCAATCCTTAGGTGATCCACCCACTGCCCTTGCCGCACTCCCAATCGCAAGACAAGACAGCGCAATGGCACCACCAAGCTTTGTAAAGCCCTTCATCCTGTCCAACAAAAATTGACCCAAAAGTTAAGAAGGCAATCCTGCAGAATCGGAGCGGATGGGAACGGAAACAGATAGATAGGAGGTACCATAAATAAAGTATACCTCCCAGGTATAAGATCACATAGGGGGGTTCCAACCAAAAGCCGTAGTTCATCCTGATCTCTCCCGCAAACGAGATCCCGAACAACCGTGTGTTTCCCCGTCTTTTCCCCATCTCGCGTAGTGTGGTACTACAGTATGTCCGTGTTATGTAGTGCTGATCCCTGGTCGGTTCAAGCGGTCAATTTACCGGCGTTACCACATGCACTCACCACCGCAAGACCCCAATTCTGTATGCACACCTTACAAGGAAAGCTTCTCAGCCAATTTGTTCGATCCGCCATCTACAATGCCTTCGGGTAAACAAAGGACTTCTCTAATGACGCCACCACGCCCTAGAGTTCCTATCATGGGAGACTGCCTCACCCGTTGGGGAGCTTGATTGCCAGGTTGTGGAGCTTACGGGAAGCTTGGGTGTGGGAGGGGGCAGGTGCGGGGAGAAGCTAAGTTGGGAAAGGCTTCCGAAGTAGGCACGGACGCGAGGACAGGAATACGGGCATCGGGCCATTGGCCGAGAGGTGGGATTGCGTGAAGTCTTCACTTGCGATCACAACATTTGCAGGTGGGAGGGAGGAGGATGGAGTAAGGCGTGCGGGGGTGTATGATGTACCGTAATTGTCCTATGCGCACGGGGCAGTTTGTGCTGTCCCTAGTAGAACGAGCAGGTATATAAAAGCGATACAGGTACTTATTCGCCTATCGTTTTCAACTTGAGGAGGTTTTTCTTTTAAGGCGACAAAAAGGTATCTTGTTTCCTCAAAGAAAAAAAGGAAATACCCGTGCAATTCAAATGTTTCGCTATGAACTAAAAATACCAAATGACCTCAGCCGTTGAAATCGCCAGACGCAGGAAAAGTCGGGCATGTGTGTCGCTGCAAACGAAAAGGATGAAGAAAATGCCTAGGAGAGTAGTACCAAATGCGTCGAGTAGATTTCGGTAAATCCACCCCAAATGAGTGGAGCTTACATGCAAGGATTGGAGTAAAAAGATATACGTAGAAGAAAACTCGGCATGAAGTGAATCTGTCTTTCAGTGCTGCCGTAGTATCATGTGTAAACTCCCCTTGGCAGCCATATCTGGGTAAATTTCAACGGGGTTGATGCTGATACGCGTAGGTATCCGTTCCTGGAGGATTTGGCGGCCATTGGCTTTGGTCGTAGGTGCTGTTGCCAGTGAAATCCAAGCCATTATAGTAAGGGTCTATGCCGTACATGTTGTAGACCATATTTTCTTCGTCCGCGCACATTACCGGAGTAAAATCCTCAAGATTTTGCAATCCACGATATCCAAACCCAAGTAGCCTATTTAACGGGGCAGTATTCACTTCACCGCTGTATCCAACCTGATCCGAAAATGGCGCGGATGCGGGAAGACTACCCGTGATACTATGCTGTGCGTGCACATTGGACATGCCTAGCTGATAGGAATTATTGTAGAAGGAGGATTGATCTTGAACCCTCTGGTGCAGCGTTGCTCCGCTTAGGGTATTACCGTCCATGTGTGGACCATGGCAAGGCCCTCCCGCTACTGGCATGTTAGCGGGTACCCCATTTCCATCTGCTGCACTTGATTTGGATGGGTTGACTACTGTGAAACCTGAGGTGAGAACAGGTTTGCTCATGGACACTTCTTCAGTCTCGCGTTTCAGACGAGTAGGATTAGAGGAGGCATTGCGTTCCGCGTGGCTGTCCTCTTGGGGAAGTATTGAATCTGCCAAGTCCAGCTCTTTATCAGTCCATGAGCCGTCGTGCTTGGCATGAATGTTGCCAAATTCCTTGTGTGTCTTCTCGAAAAGTTCAAGGTAGTCCTTCAACCCACCACCGCTACTATCACTTGTCGAGCTTTGCGGAGAATCGCCAACTTTGCCTCCAGACTCTTTGTACCGCTCTCGTGTAGTACGATAATAACGTTGCCAACTAGCCAGTTGCTTTACCCAAGAAGCGCCCATAGAAAAGCGCTCTAAGATGGTCTCAAGATAATTATGCGCAACATCATGCGCTCTGGGTCGCCTGCGCGAAGAAAGACTGCGAGCAGGATCCATATTGGGGAAGTAGTGACAATATATCGCTTCGAATGTTAGCTAGAGTCTGAGCCTTCATATCGGGAAACCTACTGCACAGGCCTACCGTGAAGGAAGCAAATGCAACTATAGGCATCTGAGGAAGGTCTGACTTTCGCCGAGCAGATTGCATATCGGCGAGAAGGTCAATGAACTCTTTACAGACTTTCCAGCATTCCTGTGCCTGGTTGATCCAATAGTCTTCCGTCGGTGGTCTTGCTCTGATTAGCGGCTCATCTAGTGGTCCGACAGGTTTCTTCTCCGCCCACGGAGCCATGGCCATATATTCCCGATATAGGAAGACCGTGCATACTGTGTAAAGTGCATGTATAAGAAGATAGTTGTCGGACCCATTGTAGACCCTATCTTGGTTGTTTTCTGCCGTGAGTTGCAATTGATCTGGAAGCTCCTGTTTGAATAGTCGAAGTTTGTTTTCCAATTTCTTGAATTTAGTATTTTCATCCCATGGCGGTGTCGCTCCTTCTTGTCTAGCACACGTCAGCACTGCCTTGTACAGTATATCATGGCATACCTCACCTTCTACCACCGCTACACGACCACTTGACAATTTCACCGAAAAGGTCAACAATCGTGATGTACCAAGGAAGCTCACCCTCGAATTCAACTTCCCATTTGACCTCTTCAAAAGGAATAGCTTGTTGCGGATAACCGGATTGGTTATGCTGACGCATGGCCAGTTCGCGTAGGGCATTCCTTCGCCTTGCGTACGCAGCATTGGTTTCGCCAAGCAGTCTCGTTCGAACTTTGCGACCGAATTCGAAAGCTCCTTTGCTACAAGGAAGCTGGATCCGCTGGAAGTCTTCCGCACTTAACATTCGGGGCCGATTCTCTCCCCAGCTCATATAGCAGTCCAGGAGGCAACAGCTCCAGAAGGTGCGTCTTTGGATTTCGCGAAGAATGAATTGGTCTTTTTCCGAAAGTCGACGCTCAGGCTCCTTGAGCATGGCTGGTTTTCTGTCGTCTTGATCTGCGTCAAATTGATAGCTGAGGCCCTGCGCGCAGCGTATCGCAGTCCCTATCCTGACCCAACCCTTTCTGCCCTGCAAAGCGGTCCACTCGTGGTAGCCTAACAGTAATAAGGCCTGCACTTTTTCCAATGTCGGCTCCCCCGGAAAATCACACTTGCCCATGTGGTAGCGCGTGGCCTCGGCATAGAAATTGGCAGTCTCAATAGGGTTATTATTTTTGTGCTCTATGAGCTTGGGGCAGAATCGTGCCGTTTGGGTGAGAAATGCCAAAAGCAAAGGTGGGTATTGAGGTTGTGGCATTGCTGAGGACGCGTCCAGTCTGGAGTCTGAAGGCAATCCAATCTGCGGTCTCTCTCGTATACAGCTGAGAAACACTCTTCTGTGGAAAAATGGAAAGTCGATGGCAAGATGTGTCTCGTATATTCCAAACTGCGTCGTGTCAGTGAAGGGAGCCAGGCGGGGAGTTGGGAATTATCACCAGCTCGGCCCAAACCTCTGCTGTGAGCAGTGGTGATTCGAGCGCATCTTCGTAAGTTCCCAATCCATCTACTGAACGAGGCCGCAGGGGTGCGCTGTATATGGGCACGCCCGGCGCGTGTGCCGCAACCTTGCGTTGACGCTTTTTGGCTGGCAGCTGTGAGTATGGGTTAGCAGGGTAGGTCAGGGGAAATTCGGCAGCCATGCGGGGGGACACATGACTTCTTGCTTTGATTCTGACGCGCGGTGGCTGTCACACGGTGGTGGTGCAGGCTCTTGGAGATAGAAAATGCATGCGACGAGTTTTCATCATTCGTACGTTTTTAGATATAGAGCCTCGGATGGAAGTGCACGTGGTTCCTTGGGGCAATGAAGGATATAGAAGAATCACCTCACAGCACTTACGTCTCCATCAGTGGTGCTCTCGCGGCGAGAGGCGCCGACAACGCTCGAGCCTGTGGTAGATTGGTAGATGCATTCGGCATTCTTGGCTTGGCAAGCTTTACACTGTGACTTCTCGCCTTCATTGTCGCACTTTGTTTTACTTGAACGACACTTGAGGCAGGCCACGGACGCGCGCACTCGTGTCGGCCCAGGCGTCCGCTGCGGAGAGGCCTCGACGGTGGAGGGCGAGGCCTGACAGATGGGGGAGGGTGGAGGGCGCGTGGGTTGTTGATATGGGTAGGTGGTCACGGCGTTCAGCCGCGGTGCACCATTCTCTCCAGGTGGAGGCGCAGGCGCACCGGCGGCGGCCTGCTCTCGTGGTGGGTAAATTTTGGCGGTGTTTGCAGGGGAAAGCGGGCGGCCAAAGAGTTGCCAGAAGGAGGATGGAAGTTTGCGCAGTCGTATCGCCCGACGACAGCGTTCGGCAATATCTAAACACGGGCCGGAGCTTGGAGGGTGTGGTGCCCAGATGGTGGTGCCCAGCCGGTCAGTGGTGGTGGGTCTCCCCCAAAGGGTGTGGGGTGCAAGGTGCAAGGCTGGCTGCGTTGAAGCGAATGCAAGATGGGCGATGTTGCGCACTGCACTGCGATCTAGGCCTAGGCAGCGTGCAGTGTCGTGTCCAATCTGGTGTCCAATCTGGTGTCCAATTTGGTGACGCTCAGTTTGTGTGGCCCTGGAGTCGAGAAGGCGTTTGGATGCTGCGGGCAGGCGGGTATTAACGTTGTTGGCTGTGGCTCCTGACGGCCGAACAGCTTGGCGCTATTGGGAACGGCCATGGGCCATGCCGCGTGTTTTAAGCGATGCGATTCAACCGTGTGGGCTGTGGTTCTGTGGAAGGAAAGCTACCTGTCGCCGCCAGTTCGTTGCTGGGTGGTGTTGGGAGCTCAAGCGCGGCGGCGGCGGTAGCTGGAGGCGTCAGGCGTCAGGCATCAGGCGTCAGGCGATTTGCGTGTAAGTGTTAGGTTAGGCATGTGTGTCTGTGTGCTTATTGTGGTCTGGTGTCTGGACTCGCGTGTGTCCAATCCAAACGAAAAGACTGGCCAATTTGGTGGCGGACATGGATGGTAGTTGCTGTATGTGCTAAGGTTGGTATGAGAATGTAACAGGGCGTTAGGCCAGTCGTGGTCGGCAATTCTGCCTAGCGCACCCTTTTACTAGGCTGGATACGTACTATGTGCATGCTGGGTGTAGAATATATGTCATACCTGGGTAGGTAGTGGCAGGTTGGTAGCTCAGCATCCATTCATTATCACATGGGCTATAGATGGCGGTTGGACGGGCTGTGAGGGAGCGGTGCATGGCGCGGGCCGAGTACTTAGAACCCTTCTCTCCCTCTGGCATCTACCTAGTACCTGATAGGCATGGCAGGTATGTATAGAGTAGGTGTATATTCTCATAGTACATAGTCTAGAGTACATACTAGGTACTAGTAGTACACACCATACCTACGACTACCGCATGCTACTCCAGTCCATACCTACAACATACCTGGTAAACTGTAGTTGCTTCTGCCTCGACCAAGTCCCCATCCCGTAGTACATAGCTCATGTCTCAGGGATTGGTTTTCTCGAGTCTGGCTTGGGTGTCATCCAGCCACCCATCCATCCTCCATCATCCTCCATGATCATCACGATTCACAAAGAGGTGCTGACACGTGGGTTGCATGAGGGGCCCCAACGCACCTTTCAGTCGTACCGGTAACGCAGATCTGCATACATGCACGCACGCACGAAACTACTGTATCTGCCACCCAGGGCGTTCCTTTTTGCGCCCCCGTCCGTCGCCGCAGTACAGAACAACACCGGCGCAGTATCTGCGGTGCCACATACGGTAGGCCTTTTCTGCCTGTCAGACAGAGCAGGACCCCATGCAGCCTCTACTCCTACCTGGTATCCTCGTGCATAACATAGTACGTACCATAGAGTATACTATATGTGCACGGGTAGTAAGCATCTCAGCATCTGCTTTACTCAACTGTCGACACAAGTGGTAGTAGCCCTACCACACAACACTCCCGTGTCCCACATATGGGTACGGTACTACCTAGGTATACTACCTCTCTTGGGCAACTCTTTCGTCAGCCCTCGCTACACAGTGCACGCTGCATGCACGCTGCATACTGGGGCACTACACTCCATTCGCCATCGTCACCCCAACAGTTTACGAGATGACCACCATGTAGCTGCTGCGTGTGTACGTACGTGGTCATACTGATCTACCCATCCGCTCTCGATTGGGCGTGCACTGCATAATCGCATTCGCCACATCCTGACGCCCTGGCAGCCCACCCTCGAGTCCAGCTGCAAGTGTCCAAACACCTGCAGCAACCCACTCCTTGCAGAGAATCTTACCATCCCCATGTCGTTTCCGCGCCTTGCAGACTTGCCCCAAGGTCATCTCCATACTCCGCAATCCGCAGTAACACACGGCAGTCGGCACCCTGTCAGCTCAACGGCCTTGATGCGGCTCTGCCCTGCCATCAGCCCTTTGGCCCGCCAGCTCACATGCCAAAGAAGGCCAAGTTCCAACATCATGCGTGAGCCGAATACAACCATAGATTGCCGTCCCCATCACCTGCGAATCGGCTCTTTTTGGCTCTGTTCAGGCCGACACCGTTGAGCGAGTATTGCGTGCTATCGACCTGCATCTGCTGCACTCTACCCAAACGAGGCGGCCTTCATCGGTGAAAGACGTCGTGGGCATGCTGAAGCTACGTAGACATGGACTTACTACTCCTCGAAAAGCTGATCAGTCGCACCCTAACGTCCTATCCTCATCCATGGCGGGAGACAGGCAGTCCGTCGCAATTGGGGGAACGAGTAGGCACAAGTCCAGCCCGGACGAGACTAGCATGGCTGCGGGGTGCGTGGATCAGAATCCAGATGGCTCTTAGTGAGTTGTGTAGAGTCAGAGTGTCGCGCATCGCGCATCGCGGATTTGTATGCACTCTGTCCAAATCTCGCTTGCACCGCCACAGACGTCATAACGTCTCGCGCTAACGAGCAACTTGGCAGGCGTGGGGGCCCGGCGTGGGGAGTGGCTGCCCAACCTTGAAATGGAATGGTTCATGTTATCTGGTGGCTGGCCGTACACGTGCTTTGGCCCGTGACTACCCGTTCCAGCCAATCAGATGAACATCGTCAACAGGTGCCAGATCATGATGCTCCTCATCCTCCACTCCTGTTTCAAGCCAGCCAGTCTCTATCATAGTCTACTACTTTCATTTTCTAGATGATTCCTCAATAGTCTCATCTACCCTTATTCCCCATCAACCTTTTGAAAAATTTCCGTAACCACTGTCATTGATCAACAGGCTCCTCAGGCCCCTGCTGCTGAGCTCTGGTGCACTGCGCCGGTAACCTTCACATCATCATATCCAAACTGGCCTTGTCGGTTTTGCGATTTGGACGTAGTTTGGAAATGTAGCCTTATCAAACGGTCGTCTGCAAGAGTTGCTACTGTGAAGAATGGCTTCTATCCCGTTTTACGTTCGCATCTGGTTGAAGCTGCTCTGCGCGCTAGTTGACAGCACCTTCTCCAGACATGTCATGTCTTGAAAGCAAGCAACCACGACCAGAGCTTCCAATCTCAATGATCTTGACGGCCGAGCGTCAGCCTTTCAATCACGTATCATGTCTTTTCACTTTCCATCGCTTCTTCTCGTGTACATCCCACCTTGGTTTCGTTCCTTGAGTGGCTCCAGATCTACACAAACGGTCGTGCAGCCGACGTGCACATTGTGTTTGCATCTTGCAGCCATCCTCAAAAAAAAACCACTCTCCGGCTTAGCGAATGATTCTCACACACTTCTTCTCCTTTAGACCCTAGATAACTGTTTTGGCTTACCATCATCGAAGCAAGTTTCGCAAATCAATGGCATAGTGAGACTGGACTTGACGGGTTGCGCTCGTTACCTCAGTCGCCTCACTCACCTGAAGTCAGAAGCCGTTATCCCCTCCATACCCTCACTAGAAAAGGAATAAGAGAAAAAGATTTACTATTACCTGCACGTCTTGGTGTCAAGCGGTGTAGACCCGCCAGCTCTTCTACATTCCGTTTGCTACCCATCTACCGCTCTATTCTTCTATTGCATCATCAAGCTACCAGTCATCTGCACGCCAAACCACCGCATACCCAGTGTCTCTCTTCCTCGCAATGATGGATGCCCGCGCGTCCTCTGCTACCGCTTTCAACTCTCTGCCCATAGAGGTACGAAGCGGACAATTTTCAATGGCACCGACTTGAACACTAATCAATGACTCCAGCTCAACAAGGCCATAGCTCATGGGCTTGAGTCCGACAAGGACATCGCTACCTATCGTCTTGTATGCCAAGCTACGAATAATGCCATCGATGCAGATAACAAGTCCTTCTGGCGCGCTCGATTCCGTAGAAGCTTTGTTCTTCAAGCAGACAAGACGAATGGCGAGCTGCAGAAGCTCTACCAGCGTCGTTCGAAGCTGCTCCGCCGCGGCAGGGGCTATACTTTCTTTTTCGGTAATGACGCCCATGAGCAGAAGGTCACAGAGGTGTTGCGAGACCTAATTGTTGGTTAGTGTGTCCGCTCTGGCAATCACAGTGCACCTAGGGTGACTCGACTAACACGATCAGATTCCTTTAAAGAGCCTCCAGAGAGAGATGAACAAGGCCGTCTCCATTGCAAGAATCAGGAACGCCTGCGAGAGTTCATTCTCAATTCGAGAATTCTTATCCAGGACCGCCGTGTACCTCCTGCTAGTGAAGAAAAGTGCGAATGGCTCGATGAAACGCTGATTGCGGTCAAGCTCATGTGCGCGCATTTTCTGTTTGAATTTGAAGGTATCAAACACCAGATCTTTGCCTTTGAGGAGTCTCAGCGCGCTGTCTACAAACCTAGTGCCCAAGCTAGGATTTTCAGGGGTGGCGATATGAACTATATCAATTTCGATTGGCTAGGTCATTGTCTAGACTTCTTCCGTCATCATATGATGAGCGAAGAAGCATACACTCTTTTTGAGAACATTAGCGAGCTTCCGGCGACACAGAAGCCGTCAGCATGGCGCGAGAGTCTCAAATTGGGGGCGCGGCCACTGAGTAGGCACTGGAAAGGCACTTACTCTTTCCTCGACGCTCCAGAGATAGCCCAGCTTCGTCGGCTCACCCCTGCAGAGTATAGCAGTCACTACTTCATTGACAAGAATGTCGACGAGGGTAAGATCCAGGTATGTATTCATGCAACCACTCCAGTAGAGCTAGGGCTCACAGAGGGTAGTCACTCGAACTAGAATTTGTCCCCAAGGGTAAGCAGATGAAGTGGCCCCAAATTTTCGAAGATCGCTTGCATTCGCTTGATAACTCACATGAGGCGCGCAAGAGACCCCAGGGTAAGGGCAAGGCTAGAATCAGGGATCGCAACGGCGAGAACATCCAGTTTGTCGGCACCGGCGAAGACCTAGAAGATGACTTCAATGCGATAGGATGGCTGAACCCTCTACCAGCACAAAAGGGCATTCCAGGCTGGCAGCGAATTACATTCATGAAGCATTTCATGGAGAACTTTGACGAGGTAGAGCAAGACAATCTGTGGGCCTACGAGGGCATTGTGTTGCCCGGTGGTCGAATGATTCTCGGGCGGTGGTGGTATGCATCAGAGCAAGTTGATTTCAATGTAAGGAAAGACATGATGAAATAAGAGGGTCGCTTTCGAGAACTGATGTTTTGCAGCAAGACTACAACGGACCTTTTATCCTTTGGGCAGTGGATCCCGAACCCGACTCCGAAGCTAGCGTTGATGTGGATGGGGAGTCTGCTGATGATGCAGCTGATGAGGAATGATGAGCTCTTTTTACCCCATGCAAACACCCAAACACAAGCTGTGTCCAGACTATTTTGACTCTGAACGAACCTCACTCACCAAAGTCTTTCTCACAATTTCTCATATCAAAAGCTCGACCCAGTTTTGGAGTAGGAACACATTCATACGTCTAAAGCGGGCGGATTAGAAGATTTACTATCTGACTGTGCTTCTAGCTGGCACATGCATCTTCTGGCGTTGTGTTTTGACATATTCACTGATACAAGGGGTCGAAGTTCGGTCTAGTTGCTAGCATCTTTTTGATGAGGCGGTATTCTTCATTTGAGAAAGATTATTATTTGAAACTGTTTTCAAAATCTGCATGGAGTCAAGTGATAGTAGGACGATTGGTGATGTCGTGGGTGGCAGGTGCGTTGTCCCAGGATTGAGGTCAGGATTTCCAGCTGGAGTGTTGATATCACGTATCACGTGACGCGGAGGTTTCGCTCAACTCCGATCATTCTCTGAGAATTATCAATTCGCTGAACCACATCAGTCGACGGCGTCCGACAAACGAAACGTCGTCCCCCAGAAGACCGGGGCCCAATTCGCCCTCTGGGATACCTTGGACAAATCGTCACGGCCCTCGACTTCCTATCGCAACAGCCAGCAGAAGGCCACCATGGACGCACTTCCCATCACCAAGAAGCTCATAGCTTTTGGTAGCAAGAAGATCTACCTGTATGCACCCGTGCCCACACCAATTGCTCTCACTGAAGCATTGACTAACGTCTCTCCCCAAATTAGTCCTAAATTCACAATCGCACTCATCCGCACCCCCCGCCTATCCCCCTACCACGCCCGCTTCCTCGTGCCCCTCGACTTTTCCAAATACGATCTCCGCGACTACCTCTACCACGCCTACAATGTGCGCTGCTTCAACCTACGCTCCTACGTCAAGCAAATGCCCGTGCGCGATACGCGCGACGAACAACAGACCTGGTTCCGACCCGAGTCGAAGAAGTACATGACGGTCGAGCTCGAGCATCCGTTTGTCTGGCCCGAGACGCCGGATCTGACGCCGTGGGGACCCAAGGATCGAAAGCGTGAGATTGAGGATTCGGCGAGGAATGCGGGCGTGTTGGAGGGTAGGGGGATTCGGGAGAGGGCGAGGACGCTGCGGGAGCAGGCGAGGGAGCTGTTGGGGACTGAGTTGAAGGAGAGGGATCCCGGGGTTACTGGGAGGCTGTGGAAGAAGAAGAGGAGGGAGGTCAAGGGCAAGTCGGCGTTGGAGCTTTGGGAGTCGAGAAGGCCGGATAAGTTGATTGAGAGTGATGAGGCGGAACGGTTTATTGTAAAGGCTTGAGGGGGAATGAGGCTGGGTTTGGTGTTATGTCATGTATAGTTTTGGGAAGAAAGAGAGGGGGGGTTCTGGAGTTTCTATCTCGTATGCGATATGCTCAAGTTTCACACAAATGTCTTGAAAATAGGCCGACACATACCCTCAAACCCTATAGCAGCACAACCCATTCCCAATTCCCAGCACACACTATGCTCTGCACCACCAACTCCATGCCAACCATCAGCATAGCATCATGACACAATCTGGAACCAAAGAAGGTGTAATACAAATGTCATCCTATCCACGGAAACAAATCCCCCCCTTCTCCCCCACAACCACAAATCCCGGCCTTGATTTCACACGATACGTGATGAAGAGATATACAGACAGGATACAGACAGGTACAGATGACGAAAAAGCGTTGGATAGAAAGGGGGAAAAGTAGAGATGGCGGAATCTTGTTGGATCAATGGGAGGAAAGGTGGATGTGTTGGATTATGCAATTATGCGGCAGATACGGTGGATATTACAGGTACCGGGCTCAGTCTTATGTTCTATCTTTTCTCTGCACTTCCATACAGTGATGGGAATTTTTTGTGTTGAAGGGGGGAGGGGTATGGTATAATACGGTATCTAAACAGAACCAACACGTGACAACCGACACGAAGAGTGTATGTGGGCTGCAAAACCTCTGGTGCATATTTGTGTACTATCCCCCCACTTCCATACATGTCAACCGTACATGGCAATAACCATGTATTATACCGTCATCCCGCACCCCCAGCCAGCCCCAAAAGGCCCGTTATCGGGCAGCCTGACTGGAATTTTGTAGGCAAGACCAGTATTTCCACAGGCATGTCCAGGCTAGAAGGGACGATGGGGAGCAGGCTCTATCCTCGTCGCGTAAAGTATTAGTTTTAGGCATGTTTTCTATTTGGGAGGTGGGAGCCAATGGCAGTGGTCTCACGTGCTTGGTTTGGCTTGTGTTGGACACATGCATGCCCAGATGGGAATCCCTACCGTGGAGTTCTCGTTGTTTCGTCATCATGGCTTCTGCTTCTCTCGTGCCCTGCCTTACTCTACCTTGTCTTGCCCTGCCCGGGGCCTGCTGAGTGGGTAGCGTGCAGCTTGCGTGAAACCTGGCGGGCGACTAGAGTAGGTAGAAGAAGAAAAAGGGAAAAAGGAAAGAGGGTGGAATTTTCGAGAAGGGGAGATGATGGCATACTGCGTATTCTAGGCACTATTGTAGGTATTGGTCCAGTAGGTACTAGGTACGGTAGATCGAGTGGGTCGTGAATCTTTCTTCCGTCTTGGTCTGTCTGGGACGGTAGTAGGTAGTAGGTAGTAGGTAGTATAACGATAATAGTAGGTTCAGTACTGGTTCCTGTTGGTCGCCCGGTGAGCCGTGGCAGGCTGGGTAAAGCAACATGTAACATGTTCGCAGACACGCCATGGAACCCCATCAGTCACTCGGTGAGGGGCAAGGGTACCGGTAGGGCTTCTCGGCCGGTCAGCTGAAGGCGCAAAAGGGCTGCGTGCAAGTCGGTCCTTGGTTGGGTTGGGCGCAGCAAGCGAACACCCCCTCCCCCAGCCCACGGATGGAAGTGGCTGCCTTCTGCGACCCAAACATGATGTCACTCCCTTCCCACCCTTCAACCGCCCTCCAAGCAGGAGGAAGAACAACGCCCCTCCACCCAACCCAACCCTGCACCGACAAACCACTACAGTCCTACAATCCTTGGGTCCCCAACCCAGCAGCCGGGACACTCGACATCTCATGATTCATCCGTCTTCCTGCCCTTGCCCTCGCCCAATCCTTTAAAAACCCAGCTGTCTGCCCGTGCCCCCGCCGACCAGACGTCGACATCATTCCCCTCCTACTCGTCTCGTATTGTCACTTTTCAGGCACCCCTCATTCTTCTTCATTTGCGACCGCCTGCGTCGTTCCCCCTCCACGCCAAAGCCTGTCTTGCAATTCAAGCACAGCAGCACAAGTCAACCCATTGTCATAGCCATTCTTCCGCCGGTACGCAACCGCTTACACTCCAACCGTTCCACGGCCACTGTTTCTAGTCTTGCACGTGCATGCGCTCACATCCAGCTTCAGGGTTCCCTAGGCAGCAGAGCCTGAGCCACACCACGACATATTCGTTGCACCACAGACTGCCGGATTCCTGGGAAGCCACGTGTTTGCCCTTTGTGGGTATAGAGCGACCATGTCCGAGTACAGTTATGCCCACGAGGTCCCGCGCCGGCACCGCACCAGCACCCGGGAGCCCGAGTATGTGACGGAGACGACGTACATTGAGCGCGGCGGCCGTGGAGCACCGCCAGTCCGCGATCTCGTCTACCGTCCTGCCCGCGAGGACAGCATCGAGGACATTCCGCGCGACTTCCCTCCGCCAGGCTCCGAGTACCGTCAGACCAAGTACCGCGAGGAGTATGCCCCGCCGCGCCGCACCCGCTCAGTCAACCGCGGCTACGACGACGACGACTACTATTATGGCCGTCGTGACCGTGGACGTGGCCATCGTGACCGCGACTACGATGACTACTCTGAGTATTCTGAGCGCCCCAAGCCCTCTCGCCGCAAGTCTATTGTCGACCAGGTCAAGGACTTTGGTGAGGCAGCCGGTTTGGGTGGGGTCATTGGCGCAGTCACGGGACGCAGCCGCTCACGCCCACGCCGTGACGACCGCGGCTACGACAGCGACAGATACTATGATGACCGTCGCAGCCGATACGACTCGAGGTCCCGTAGTCGCAGCCGTGGAGGTCGCAAGTCGGACAAGTGGGAGCAGGCTGCCAAAGCCGCCATTGTGGCCGGTGCCGTCGAAGCCTTCCGCAGTCGCAAAGAGCCCGGCCCCTGGACAGGCGCAAAGGGACAGCGGATTGCTACTGCCGCTCTCGGCGCTGCTGGTATCGACAGTCTGATCGACAAGGACCCCAAGGAGCATGGCAAGCGACATGTTGCCGAGTCGGCTCTGGGCGGTCTTGTTGCCTCTCGTCTTGCCAATGGCTCCCGCTCCCGCTCTCGTGCTCGCGGCCGTGATGACTCCAGATCACCCTCTCCACGTCGCTCCCGGTCTAGATCCAGGTCCATCTTTGGTCGCTCTCGCTCCCGTGGACGCTCAGCCTCTCGCAATGGTGAGCACGAGGACGGCAATGGCATGGCCAAACTCGCTGGTACCGGAGCGGTCATCGCAGCAGGCAAAGCTCTCTACGACCGTGTGCGTTCCAAGTCACGCTCTAGAAAAGAGCGCTCCCGCTCCCGTTCCCGCTCCTCTAGCAGGGACAGCTATGTACCATCGCGTCGGGGCAATCGCCGCTCGTACAGTCGAGGCCGCGGTATGGACGACAGAGACTCAGAGGCTCGTTCCAGAGCTAACCCAGATCGCAGACTAGCCGCAGCAGGCGGTGCAGGAGCCGGTGCCCTCGCAGCCACTGGCGGAGGCGGACAATTAGTGAACCGCCAACGAGGCCGTAGTTCTAGCAGCGAATCCGAATCGTCGACGGACATGGAGGAGCGCCGCAAGAAGCTACGAGGTAAGGAGCTCATCACCGCCGGACTAGCCACGGTCGCCACCATCCACGCCGCACACGGAGTCTACAGTTCCATGGTCGCATCCGAAAACCGCCGCAAGCAAGTTTCGGAAGGCGAGATCACGCCTGAAGAAGCACGCAAACGCAAATCGAAGAATATGCTCCAAGACGCTGCTGCCGTGGGTATCGCCGCCCTGGGTATCAAATCCGCCTACTCTGAGTGGAAGGAGATGAATGAGCAGCGTCATAGTGTGAAGGAGCTCGAGATTCGCCGCCGCAAGCGCAGAAAGGCGCGCGAACGACGGGAGAGGGAGGCCCGGCAGAATGCCTTCAACGATCTCGGTATGGGTGGCGCGTCCATGGCTAATCCGTACGCATATCCTGTAGCTGCACAACCTTATCCGACGAGTTATGCGGACTCGAATTCGTATGGTGGTATGCCTCCGCCGCCGATGGGTGCGAGGTACTAGCGTGTTGTTTTATTACTATTCGACCTTGATTGTTTGCCCTGGTTACATCTCTTTCTGGTCTTTTTGGGCGGAGGGCTTCTTTACATTAAGGACGGCATCGGTTCGTTTAGAGCATGCGTGATTTGGTCGTTTTTCTTGTCATTGTGTCTTGTTTTGGTTTGCTGTTTTGCGCATTCCAGGGAGGAAAGAAAGCACATTTGGTCTTCGGATAATGACTGATTGATGGCAAACACACACGAGAGTCTTCCGGCTCCAATTAACGATGATGAAACTTTAATGACAATGAGTAGAGAAATTCTTAGCACAATGAAATGGGTTTATACCTTTCTTTAAAGAAGACAAGACGTTGAAATTAGGTCGTGACAGTTAGTGCCCGTGTGTATTGAGGGTTTTCTTTGTTTACTTTGGGCTTGTGACGTAAGGGTTTCCTCTACAGTTAGTTACTCTAGTTTGGAGTTGGGTTAGGTTGGGCTAGGTTAGGGCTAATTTGTTAGTGATTGAATCTCTGTCATACTTTCTCCTGCTTTCTGTGTCCCTAGATTACCGGTGATGTTACATTTGCCCAAGTGCAGTGAACTTGTCCTACGACAGGATAACTCAACATATCAAAACACGGCTCAAATTTAACATCTTCCCCCATTCTATCACCACACCATCAGTATTCTTTCCTTGTTGAATGTCCATTTCTTATGCTTTTTCTATGCACCACCTAGTCTTCACCATGTCCTTTCGCTAATGTCTGTGCTGTCTCAAGAGCAAAAGATGGATGTCGGATTTTCCCAAGCTTTTCCCTTGTTTATATATTTCCAGTGCGGAAATGTTTGGGGGTGCTTGCTTGGGTCCGGGTTACTTTGCTGGTGTTTGTGTAGATGGGAGTGGTCAGGTGTGTTGTGGATAGCAAACGGCGCTGAGCTGTGGGTACATGAGTGGCGGTGGGCTGGGGTTTCATGGTCGTTATAGTTGGGGGGTTTTTTGGGTTGGCTTTACTTTGGGCGAGTTGGAGAAGGACGTGATCTCAGTAATCTTGTTTTGCAAACGGTGTCGTGCCTTCCTGTCTGGCTTCGACTTGTCAACACATTCAGCACCCAAGCACTACACAGCTTGCAACACCACACACTTCGAATCTTTGTACCTCTGCAAACATGAGCGGCTGGGCGGCGCCAACGACGATTGAAAAGGGGCGAAAGCCCAACAAGACAATTCCCGTACCTCCCGAATATCGTGTTGTCACGCTTGCGAGAGAGCGCGATCTACTGGTCAATGAAGTCTTGGTCAACACTGGTTGCACAGTCGTCCCGTACTCGGAACAAGGTCGTGTTACGCGTTTTGAGATATATGGCGCTGCTGCAGATGCTGCGGTTGCTATGATCAACAAGTGGATCTCAAAGGCGCACGTCAAGTCCAAGGCTGCTTCGTCCTGGGCGAAGACGCCAGCGTTCAACGCCAATGATTGGTATTATGAGCAGATCACGGAGATGGAATTGGAGCGCAAACAAATGTTCAAGGGGCCAGTACCTGAGATTGCTGAAGATGCTCCCAAGATGCACAGCGTATGTGACATGATAACTTCTGAGAATTCCGTGGCGCTAACCACATTCACAGGTCGTTGTTGACTGGCCAGAAGATCTTCGGAACTATCCCATCACTCCTCGTGATGCCTTTGGCAACAAACTCGAAGCTTTGAATGATCTCAGGATGCGCGACGAGGTCTTCATCACTCTGCTGCCGAATAGGAATGGTCTATGGCAGGTCGAGATCAAGGGCTTTGAGAACAAGAACGTTGAGACTGCAGAAGCACACTATCGTATCATGATTGACAAGGTTCGCGCAGACACTCTCGGAATGCAACACAATCTCAACCTGATACTTGACGGAACCGAGGGTCTTGATGTCCTGCTTGAGGAAGCCGAAGACTGGTTCCCGAACCGCACTGACAAGATTGTCCCACGCCTCATTCATTCACCCATGATGTTTCAGAGAGGATGTTTCAGAGAGGATGGCCTGTATCCTGCGCAATACGCACAGATTCAACGCTCTATAAGGCAGGCTCTTGAGGCCGTTCGACGTAAGAAGGGCTCCTATGACTTTGCCATCCGCCTTGGAAGCTTGGTGCTTGGCTCAAAAAACGTGTCTGCTGACCATATTGGCAAAACTTTCCAGAGGGATGATTTTCTCCATGCTGTCAATTCTAGGGTTGATCTTCTAGTCAAGAAGTGGTGAGTTGCGTGATCATAAACCTTTGGAGTGAAGATCAGGGAGCCCAGTTGTTAACCTTTGTAGGGCGTTTGACACTGAGACTGGATGGAAAATGCTACACCGACTCATGGCTGCTGTCCATCTGCTCGAGCCAAGCAAGGCCGCTGGCTTCTTTGGATTTCTTCCCCCTACGCTCGAAGAGACCCGGCCCATGTTCCGCGGAACTTGGGTCTTCAGAGACCCTAATGTGGCTGTCGCAAAGCCTGCTGTCGCACCCTTTCGCCATGCAGGCAGACCCGCTCTTGCGCAGCCAGCAACCACCAGTGCTCCGGCAGCTCCAGCAACACCCAGCAGTCTGTTTGTTGTACAGGTTGATTGGACAGATGACGAAGAAGGTCTGTACGAGAAGCTCGATACCCGTTTCTACAAGCTGGCAGCTGGAAAAATGGGACCAAATGTCAACATGAACATCATCCTGCTCGAGTTGGGAGAGTAAGTAACTCGATCAACCCAAACAAATTTCGCAAACGCTGACACCAAAGCAGGAGTCGTGGCTGGAGCTTTGCCCTCGAATCTTTGATGCCAGTCTCAACCAAACTCGTCTCACCTGCGCTGCAGGGCTTTGCTAAGAATGTCACGATGCAACCAAAGTACGATATTGAATCAAATGAATGCTTCGCCCGCTGGGACGCCACACCGACAATCAAGCAGTACCTTGTAACCTATCGTCTGGACAAGATCTACTCATTTGGCATCCAAGACACGTGCTACAAGGTCGAGCATACAGCCATGTGGTACGCTGGAAAGGAAAAAGCACCCGTCTGGGGCCTGGCCGTTCGTCATGTAGAATGGGCCGCTCATCTTGCTGAGCTGGAGCGTCTGCCTGTTGGAGATGAGGCGGCTTGGGGCGACACCATTGCAACCTTTCTTCCTGACGACGGATGCATGTCTTCTATAGACCCCGATAGCAGCAAGAAGCAGACCAAACTGGACGGCGAAGAGAAGCAGGATGAGCATGCGCGCAATGGGATCCGTGTTCTCTTCCAGAAGGTGATGCAGGTTTCTGAAGTTGTCAGCTTGGTTACTACTGCGACTGATGGTGGGGTCTTGCTCGGAGAGTAGAGATGATGGTGATGTTGCAGATTGGGTAGGGCCACGATGAACCTCAGAGGGGGTCATAGCTAGGCGGGCCGTTCGTCTGCGTATGACTAGGCTTTGGGTATACAGTTGCTGTATTTACAGGTGAAGAACCCTTGGGGTCCCTGAATCCAACTGTGGATATGATATGCTCTGAGCTTCTACAGCTTCAATGGCTGTGACATGCACTGTGGTTCTGTTTTCCTCCTCATATCGAGCCTTGGGAAGCCGTCATGATCTTGCACCCACCGACCTACGCCTCACTCGACGTATGCACACACACCTAGGAATTCCCGCAATCCACACTGCCCAAAAGCCCTTCAACTCCCCTTGCCCTTGCCCTCATCCTCCTGCTGACTCAACACCTTGACCCTCATAACCTCCTCCACCACCCTAACATTCTGCGCCTTGCCCTGAATCACACCCTCGAGATCCCTCAAACTCTCCCCCAGGTCTTTGACCTTGCGCTCATAAAACGCCTCGGCGCCCTTTACATCTTTCTCGACAAAAAATCCCGTCCCGACATCGACGAGCACGTGCTCGGCGTCTGTGAGCTGGCCCGGCACATAGAGCGACGAGGTCAGCGGGACGAGCAGCGGTTTCGCGGCCGCGTTGGTGTTGATGCCGTTGGCGAGCGAGGAGAGGCAGTCGCGGAATTTGGACTGCGCGGTGCGTAGCGAGGTGAAGGAGTTGGAGAGGTGGGTGAGTTCGGCGTCGAGCTGGGATTTTAGGTCGCGGAGTTGGGGGAGGGGGAGGCTTGTGATTTCGACTTTTGGAGGGTTAGCTGGTTTTAATTCCTGGGGGTTTTGGGGGGGGGGGGGGGGGGGGGTATTGTGGAAAAGAGGAGTCTGCTTACTTTGGCCGGGTTGGGCGCTGCTTTGTGAGGCCATTATTGTGTGGGGTTTAATTGGTGGTGGTGGTGTTGTGGACTTTGAGAGGGAAGCTTTATGCGGGAAGGTTTTGGTGGGGGGTGCAGGAGGATGTGATGTTAATGATGTGGGGTAGCTTGGGATGGATTATGATAGGTAACGTGAGAGCGCAATGAGACTGGCATGAGACTGGGAGTTTTGTTGCTTCCTCACCACACATTGTCACCACACTCAATTGATGTTGCAAACCTTGCGTGTACCGGTACTGCTCACTCGCTCGTCAACACGATGCTATTCCTCCACAGCGCGTTTCACTAAAGTGCGCAACGTACCGTATGATGGGAAACAAAAGATACAAAACTTCGACACGACGCAACCTGTACTCTTCAAAGGCAGTTTTGCAGACTATCCCGCAATTGCAAAATGGTTTACACAGGATCATCAGTCTCACACTATACTAACACCCGAGCTCTCTCACCACGGCGATGCCATTGTCCCCCTCGAACTCACGCGCTTCGCCTCGCCAGAGAATCCCAAGGCCGCAACATTTGAGCGCTTCAATGCACCCCTCTCCCTCTTGCTTTCACACATGACTGGGCCAGAAACACCACATATGCGACTCTATCTCGCCCAACACTCGCTCTCCGACCTCCCCCTCGCACTGCAGGACCAGCTCCCCACGCCAGCCGTGCTTATGCAACTCGGCCGCGGCGACGTCTACGCGAGTAGCTTGTGGATGGGGCGACCGCCGACGCGGACACCCTTGCATCGCGACCCGAATCCCAATCTCTTTGTGCAGTTGGCGGAACGGAAGATTGTGAGGTTGATGAGGCCGGAGGTGGGTAAGGGAGTGTACGAGCGTGTTAGGAGGGAAGTAGGCAAGGGTGGGGGGAGAGCGAGTATGAGAGGTAATGAGATGATGGAGGGAGATGAGATGGTTGGGTTGGAGAATGCGGTTTGGGGCGATCATGATGAGGGAGAGGGTGTAGAGGCAGAACTGGAGAGTGGAGACGGATTGTATATACCGTTAGGATGGTGGCATGCTGTTCATGGGATTGGAAAGGGCGCCAACTCTTCTGTGAGTAGTTTGCAACGAGATAGAATAACGCATGCTAATGGGCTATGCGCAGGTCAATTGGTGGTTCCGCTGATGAACCGTCTACTTGACTTCGACCCTCACAGCAGCTTCTGTCCCATCAACCCAGGTTCCAATTGACCTCGTCCCCGGCACAATCTCCACCTCGCGCATGATCCGCTGCATACCGATATCCGCCTCGCTATCGTCTGACTCCCACTCTTCATCTGTCACACCTCCCATCGTCTTCCGCGCGGACATCCAATCGCCCGTCTCCCAAATCATCCTACATTTCAGCGGGGGTACGCCAAATCGTTTCCCCACGATGCCTAGCACTGTGTATGCCGTACAGCTCATGGGTATTTCCGCTTCAAATACCGCCTCACCAGGTGCTCGGTGAAACTTGATCTTCACAAGCCGCGCAGCCAGTGAATTGGGATTCACAGCATCCACCGAACGCTTCACATCCGGCTCGCCATACTCCTCACACAACCAGCCATACCGCGGATGACTGGCTAGAATCTGCTCCCGCAGCCCCTCGGGCGCGAATTGCACCTCCTTCGCTATCATGGATAGATAGTATGATTCGGCATTCAACCGCTCCTTGTCGTTGATCGGGCTGTGGTTGAGCGTTTTGAGATTGCCCAGCCGTGCGAGGGTCAGCATGTACCCGTCGTCTGGGGTGAGGACCCGGCCGTCCGGGGCGTGGAGGTTTTCGTACAGTGGGTTGTGGGAGACGCGGAGGCTGGTGAGGCCCGGGAAGACGTGGGCGAGGGACTCGATGAAAGCCCAGGCGGAAATCTCATTGAAGGAGAGGTCGACTTCGCGAACCGATGGGGGGAAGATGGGTAGAGGGGTCGTCGGAGTAGTGGTGATGTCGGAGATTTTGTTGGATTTGAGAATTAGGCGGGCGAGGTTTGGGAGTGTTGTCAGAGATGCGAGGGAGGAGAGGGAGGTGATGAGGTTGTCTTCGAGAGTTAGGTCGGTGATGCTTGGGTTGAGGGTATGTGAGGAGAGCGTGCTGTACAAGTTGCTTGATGCGGAGAATGTGGAGAGGATGGGGAAGAGATGTGTGAGTCTGGCGAGATCTTCCCATGGTAGAAGATTGTCCTCTAGCTTGAGGACCTTGATGCCGTGAAAAGCCTTCAAACATCTTTCTCGCTCGATATCTGTGAGCGTCGTATCCCTGAATCGCGTTCCACTGGCACATTGGATTAGCAAGGCCATTTTGCCAAATAACAACAGAAAATACAGCACATACTCTACTCTCAAACTCCCCAACCGATCCAATTGCTCACAAATCCCCGCCACCTCTCTCCACTCCTCAAATAGATTCCTACTCAGATCCAGCTCCATCGCCTTCGGACACGCCTCCCTAACATCCGTCTTCTCCCCCTCAGCCATCCACCTCTCTCCCCTCGCCTCAGGCCTCCACATACACAGCCCATCAAGAATGACAATCTTGAGCTCAGACAACTGCGCCAACTGCTTTCGAATCTTGTCAAAGCCCACCTCCTCTGCAACCTTGCCACTAAATTTGATCTCCCTCTTCTCCTTGCCCTTACCCTTGCCTCTCCCCATCTTCCCACCCAGATTCACCGGTTTCCCATCAACACCCCTTTGCACATTAAACACAACCTGCACATGTGGATCCACAAGCCCATCGTCTTCTTCATCCTCGTCGTCAGACTCAGATGCATATTTTGCCTTGAGCGCCTGCACAAAAGTGCGTTTTTCATCCGGTTTCCTGCTGGGTCGGACAAAGGATGCGGATGTTGGCGAGGGGTGCAGACAGGTGAAGTATTGGTGGCCGTTGTGGGAACCGGAGTGTTTGCCGCGGGTGGGATCGTCCCATTCTACGCCGAGCCAGGTGCCGGTGGTGGAATGGACGGGGCCGGTGTAGCGGACGGTGCAGGGGTGGGAGGCGTAGGAGAGGCGTTGGCCGGGGTAGAAGTCTTTGGAGTCTGGCATTTTGTGGGATGGTGAGGATGGTAGTATTGGGGACAGGAGGTTGATGGTTTTTGTTGGATTGGGTTTGATTGACGCTAATTTCCTTGTGCTGAAGACATCTCGATTCTTTACTTTTATGGAGGTTGTCGTCTGACAGCTGAATGTGGTAGAGGTTTGTGGTGGTGAATGTGTAGAGCTACCTGGAGCACGTGACGTCCGACATGGTAAGGCTGCTAGCGCGATATCTAATCCGCGCCACCCCAGAATTTCCAGTCGCGACATCATCTTCACACACAGTCTACAAACACCTTCCAAAGAGCTTGTTGCACACTCTTCGACAACACAAGATTCTCCATATATAGTGTCACAACAACCTCACCTTTCCAGCGAAACTCTGCAAACCTCATAATATGGATTACCAGGTATGTCCCATCACCTATAGCAACACCTCACCACCCCAACCAAACAACTGACTCCCAAAAGAACCGCGCAGGTTCCAAATTCGGCGGCGGCGGTGTCGCCTCCCAATCCGCCACAAATGCCGACCGCCGCGAACGACTGCGCAAACTTGCGCTCGAAACCATCGACCTGGACAAAGACCCCTACTTCTTCAAGAACCACGTTGGCAGCTTCGAATGTCGTCTCTGTCTCACCGTCCACCAAAACGACGGCTCCTACCTCGCACACACACAGGGTCGCAAGCATCAAACCAACCTCGCCCGCCGCGCCGCAAAAGAACAACGAGAAGGCAAGCGCGACGACGTCAACCAGCAAGGCCTGCTCGCCGGCGTCCAGGTCAAGAAGAATGTGATCAAGATTGGTCGACCGGGATACCGCATCACCAAAGTCCGAGACCCGAATACGCGGCAGAATGGCCTGCTGTTCCAATTCCAGTTCCCCGATCTCAACCCGGGTATCACGCCCAAGGTCCGCTTCATGAGCGCGTACGAGCAAAAGGTCGAGGACCCGGATCCGAATTACCAGTATTTTATTGTGGCGGGCGAGCCGTACGAGACGGTTAGTGTCAAGTTGCAGGCGAGGGAGGTGGATCGGCGCGAGGGCAAGTTTTGGACGTGGTTTGATGAGGACAACAAGGAGTTTTGGTGTCAGATTTTGTTTAAGACGGAGCGGGATGAGCGGTTTAGTGCTGTTCCTGGGTTGGCGCCGGGGAGGAAGTGAGGAATTGCTTTTGTGAGTGTGTATGTGTGTGGAGTCGGGACTGGAGCGTAGGAGTAATGAGGAGATGGCATGCGCTGTACGACGGCAGTATTCTGGGACTTCACGATTTCGACTTCCTCAGCCCAATGGATGTTTGCTACGAAAAGACTGGATGGTGATGGCGCCAGTCTACGGGATACTGAAGTCGCATCTATCATCAAAACCTGCAGATATCCGCAAAGCACACGCCCAACCGTCTCACTCCGGCCAAAAGAGTATTTTGCATCAAAGCACGGCGTTTACAAGGCGTTAAAATTACCACTGAGTATGTATCTGACATGAACTTTTCCCCGGCCTAAAGTCGGCAAATATATGCAAAAATCACTATATTCCTCCTATCCAAACAAAGACATCTCTACTAGAATTATGGACGAGTTGGGGAACTACATTTGCAATGCTTGTTTTCCCTCGTGGGAAGGGGTAGGACTTGATCTGTGCATAGACGAGCACTCCAGCGTCTAACTAGAACGCACGATATCAGCCCCCGAATGTTTGCATCCCTTGTGCATATGTACTGCATACTACAATCAGAACAACATCGGCTTGCACAGGAAATGATTTAGATCCCATTACTGATGCAGAATTTCTCGAAACCACGGCTGGAACCATTGGGTTTCGATACTTCCCACACGTGTATCCTAGAGATCAGTGTGTATGTAGCGTAACGCCCTTGTACATGATGTATCCTACCCATGGTATTTCTATGCACCATTGAAGATTCCTGTTTGGGAATCCTCACCTCCAACATAGCGGTACCGGTACGGCAGTTGGCGAGCATATTATACATGCGCATGGTTGCATATAGACAGGCCTATCCATATCCACCCTTTGTATCGATCTAAACTCCAGCCTGACATGCACGCCATGCGTCTTCGTAATGCAGCACATGCCACACCTCATCACAGTACCTACACAGATATGTACATGTAATACTATAGTTGACCATGCCTATTCCGCCTCTCCCCCCCTCCCCCATCCCCTGCCGATCACCATCCCCCCTCGCGTAGCATTTCCAGCCACCAAAGCCCATGTACATAGTATGCAGCCCACTGCGTTTTCCTCTAGAGTGACTTGGGCATGAGCCCAACAAGGCTAATTGGAGCTCGGATCAGGCATGCCCGGATCTACCTTTATTTTTCCCAATCGCACAATGGTCTGGTGCACATGTTCTACTAGATCGCAAGGGAATCGATCCAGCCCAACCATTCCGCTTCTTCCTCCCGCCCGTTCTTTTCCCGTGGTGATTGGCGAACAGGGTGCCGGCTCGTCAGGCCGGAAATCTGCGGATTTTGTGTGGGCGATGATGGGCGTTTGCGATGCGTTCATCGATGTGCATTGCTGTAAAGCTTCGGACCCCTGTATATATATATTTTTTTGTTTGTTTTTCAAGTCTGCATAGGTGGTTAGGTCACCACTATTTGTCTATCCAGGACCTGGTAGAGATTTTGCACCATTTCTCATTCTGATCGGAGAAGAATCTCGCATCCATGTTAGAGTGGAATCAGCAAAGTGTCCTCCGCTACATGCATGCGAGATAGGAGGCCAATGCAGGTGGCGTTTTCCCTGCTATCATGCACGCTGATATCACCACCTCACTCGGCGCAAGAACAAGAGTTAGCTGGATGAGTTTAGCAGCGGAAAATGCGGTAGAGCAAAAGGGTCCAAATGCCCGACCAGGCGTCTGGACAAACCTGTACGTTTGTTTTGCGGGGCTCGTGCCAGGCTCGGTACCGCACGGCTGTCAATCGAGCAAGTCGACGAGACGCCAGGCCGAGCAGAAATCCCCCCCTTGGGCAGTAGTAGGTAACTTCCGCATGCTGTTTTGCATAGACTTTTTGCTTGGGCCCCCTTTAGCGTGCTTCCTTGCATTCATTCACAGCCAGCTTCGGGTGTCTAGCCGCAAAGAGTCCAAGTCGCAGGCGGAGAATTGTTGCAGCTTGCCAGTGCGGATGGAACTCCCGGGCTGCCAAGAAGGAAAATGGATGTGTAATTGTCATTATGATTTGTGTCTTGTTGGATGGAGTACATGTCCGAGATGGGATGACGATGGCATTTGATGCATGGAGATGTTAGTCGCGGGAAAGGCACGACGATGGGAAAAAGAAAGAGAAGAAGGAAAAAGAAAAGCAAAAGCCACATTACACGCACATCTGTACGTACAGATGCATATGCAATCCATCCCGAATCTGATCCAACTAATGGACCTAAAAAAAATCGCGAGATGTCCAATCCTTCCCGATCCCAACTGACATCATCATCGTTTTCCCTTTGACTTCCGTCCGTGACATGAGCGCATATTCGAGCTCTCCTTTACGATGTTTGACGTTATTCGAGAAGAACAATCTCCTCCGACGTGTCTCGAATTCACGACTTCCTTTGGTGTCATTGGTTTCTTGCACTGGGGCTCCTTTCTGTTGTGGGAAAATCGCGCGGCCGTTTCGCCCGCTGGGGATTGCGAGTGGTGGTGCAGGGGAGGAGAGCGGAGAGAGAGGAGAGAGAGAGAGAGAGAGAGATGGAGATTGAAAGTCTGAAAGAGGGTGTATGGCCCGTTGTGGCCCTGGTCTGCCCTGGCCTACCCCTACCCTACCCCTACCTCATGTACAAAGTACAGTAGAGCATGTATCAACCGCCTAACCATTGGCATCATCCCCATCTCCACCTACACGACTCCCCTCAGCAGCGAAAACAAGCCACTGAAAAAAGTACAGATACTGACTGCATCTACAACATTCTCTGCCCATCACCATCCACCCCGCCAAACCCAAATAAACCCAACAAAATCCCACATCCCCCACCCCCACCCCCATCCAGCCCCGCGCCCAACTTCCCCATCACCAAATTCCCATAGCCGCAATCCCACCTCCCCTCCCTCACCCCCAATGCCCTACCCGGCCCTGCACTGCAATCCCGTGCCGCCCCGCGCCTGTGCCCGTGCCAGTCACACACACACACACACACACACACACACACACACATACACACACACAGAAGACATCTAGAAGCGCAATGAGAGCCTCATGCACGAGCACGAGCACAAGCACGTGCAATGCACATCATCACATCCCATCACATCCCATCACACACCAACCCATACCATCATTAGCGTGTGTGTGTGTGTGTGTGTGTGTGTGTGTGTACATTTGCCTTCTCCCCCCTCCCCCCTACACAACACACAAGCGAAGTAGAGTAGCGAGTCGCACCGCACACATGCACTGCCCACCACACCACACCAGGCCTACCATGCAGCCCACCCCCTTGTTGCGGCCCGGGCGAACGCACACCCTCACGTCCGTTGTTGGGGAAAAAAGGAAAGAAGGGGGATGAGATCCAGGAGGCAGGTTTGAATCGGAGACCGGGATTGTGCATGCAGAGTGTAGACGGTGCTGGCTCGTCTGGTATAAAGATGGTTTGCGGCATGGAGAGGGGAGATGAGTTTACGATATTCCATGCCTGTTTCCTTTGGCCCTTTGGATGCGAGTGTGCGCTGCGATGCGAGGCGATGTGGGAATCACGTGCAAGATGGGGAATCTTTTCGCGTTCAAGTCCCCGTGCGAGTGTCATCCTGCATCGCTGCAGTGGGAAGGGAAATGTCACGGTTGCGAATCCATTGTCTATCATGATGCTGCCATCTACACCCACATCCACACCCAACGCATCATCACGCCTGACAAGCACACATTCAAGTCACGCCTCCACACGCACATGCACAAAACCCCCAGCGCTAACCTAAACTCCCCATCCACCTCACATGCACAATACACCAACCAGCCCCGACCCCACAACTCCCTATCCACATCACCCAAGTACACAACACACAAGTATCCCGTCAACACACGGCCAGGGTGATGAGAAAGACACCAAGCAAGTAAATAAGCAACATGCAACAAAACTTCTCAAGATTAATAATTAGTACGAAAAACTTTGAAAAAAAATAAAAAAAATAAAAAAAAGGGCAGTAGACTGCGTACATGAGACGGATACCATGAAAGAACTAAGTTGGGAAAGACAGGAAAAGGGAAGAAGAAGAAAAGATGCATCCCAGGCAGAACAGCTCCCAAGTACCCATCCCCCTTTCATGCACAACTGAATTTCCCCCCTCTACCCTCCCCGTGCTTCCGCCCCAGACACCGTCCTCCCCCCTCCGCCCCGCCTCCTCCCAACAAAACAAAAAAACAGGAAACCAGATCCCAATCCCATCCCCGCTCGCCCACCTGCACGTACAAACAAACCAGAAAGAACACACAAGTTTGCAAAAAAGTGGAGAACATGTATTTCCGCAGTGCCCCCATCCCCGCCCACTCCCCTGCCCCCTGATACTGAATTATGCATATGATAGTAGGGAATCCACAGTCGCCAGACAGAGAGCATCAGGTATGCGAGGAAAACAGAGCTTTGGGGGAATCTTTGGTGCAAACTAAAATCACCTGTGACGAGGGGGAGACGAGGAAAAAAAGAAATTCGAGCCCGCCGAGCGACCCGACCGAAATGAGAAACCAACCAACCAACCGACCGACCGACCGACCACTAATGTAATACCGAGAAAAGGGACAAGGTGGAAGAAGAAGAAAACTACAACAACGAGAGAGGTAATTGTCCAACCATAAACACAGTCTGATCAGAAGAGAAGAGAGGAAAAGACGCCACCAAGGATGCGAGCAAGAAAAACCCCCCCCCTTTCCCAGAATGATGTTTCTGATCCTGTCCCCCAGTCCCCATACAATGCAGTCGAGCCATCCATGCATCGCTCAAAGTTACCGGCGAGCACCGAGAACACGAGAAGCAGGCCAACAGACTTGCCCCAAACTGAAAAAGCGAAACAGTATATGAGTGATGCTGGCTGGCGTCGCGAAACGTACCATCTGCATGCCAATGTCGTGCCCTCATTGTCATTGCGTAATCATGGTCGCAAATCGTCTCTCGCAAGTGTCGTGACTTCATCGATATTGCCTAATACAGAGCACGACTGATCTTGGAATCCTAGCCCCAGTTCGTCCTGCAAGCAACGGGTCCCGTGACAGAGAGCGAAGAGCCATCAAAGTGAGCGAGGCGGTCTTTCAAATTAAAGTAAAAAAATAAACACCGAGAACACGAGGCGGATCTACTGATAGACAGGGCTGTATATTGACCTCCACTGTTGCTCCACGCTCAAGGACCGAGATTGCGAGCTGCTGTCCTGTGCCGTACATTCTGATGATTGAGTTTGGCGGCCGCCAACCTCTCTTCGCAGGCAACTTGCATGGCGTCAGAGCTCCTAGTAAGACTGCCAGCCTTGCTGCTGCGGTTGTTGTGGTGGAGCCCACCCAGGCATTCCAGGTTGCTGGCTCGCTCCACTCTGATGTTGCATGTACTGGTGCGGGCTTGGGCTAGGCTGGTACGGATTCTGGCCCATGGCCGGATAAGCTTGATCTCCTCCAATGCTGCCCATGGTTTGGTATTGCTGTACGGGGGTACCATGCATAGAAGCACTACTCTGGGCGTGGTGGAGCTGTGGAGACGCATGCATGGGAGATTGCTGGGGAAGTGGCGATTGCTGAGGTGGACGTTGAGCATATTGCTGCATGTTATGTTGCTGCGAAAGCGGTGAAGGCTGAGGAGGGCCCTGCCACATGTGCGATGGAGGGTAGCCGTGGCTCGCGTTTTGCACACCAGGTAGCATCCCTCCGGGTCCCATGCTGGAAGAGGACATTCCCTGGGGCAGGCCGATGCTTGGTGGACGTCGCTGCATCTGATCAGGTCGGAGCGGCGTGTGCTGTGGGGCCATGGGTGAAGGCGCCATGTTGCTTTGTGGAAGAGACTGTGCACGGTAGGGTTGGGCGCCCAGAGGTTGACTTGACCTTTGCGGTGTCTGTGCTGGCAGGCTGTACTGGTTGCCAGGCATGGTGACGTTGGCCGAGGGCGCACGCGGCGACTGCACGGCTTGCGTCACCTGTGGTGCGTGTTCACCTTCCGCAGTTCCTGGGCGGTTGGTCTGCGCCGGGGGCTCGTGGGGTCGCGACCAAATGTCATTGAGCAAGTCCTTGCGGTGCTTGCGATGCTGTTCAAACTGCTTGTTGATCTCGGCTGTTTGAGCGGCTTGGTTGAGAATCTCGCCCGACGGGGTTGGCCTGGTTGTATCCTGGTATGGCGCGCCAGTCATTTCATGTCGTGGTCGTTGAACACCGCTGTAATCCCGAGGCTGCATGTCGGTCGTTGTGCGCTGGTTGTACGGTTCGGTGCCAGATGCAGGTACGCTACCGGGTGCGGGATTGAGCCCGCCAAACGGCTGCAAGGGGTTCATAGTTGCCCCCATATAGTCCTGATTGTTGCCAGCATAGGCATTTGGATGAGTAAAAGTCATGGCGTTGGTGTGAGCGTGGTTGGCCTCTGCGGCAGCTGCTTCCCTGGCCTTGGCGGCGCCTGGCCTCTTCTCCCCAGCCGCGTCTTCCTCGGTGAAGCCCTGCTTCCGCGCCTTGCTCTCCCAGTAGTCGTCGCGTACCCTGCGGCCGTTGGTGATGAGCCTGCTTCCAAACTGTCTGAACATGGACCGTGCGGTTACAATGGCAATCTGCCTAGACCGGTACGAGTAGGGCAAGATTTCTTGGTGGATCAAATCATCCTTCTCTGCTTGGGTGGCGATGATCTTGAACAAGGATCTGTTCTTGTTGAAGAGCAGATACGAGTCACGGTAGCCGAGGACGCGCGCACATTCGGTCGCGAGCATGAACAGCTTGTCGCCTCTGTTTGGCACAAAGAAGGTCCGGCAGCGATACTCTCGTCCTTCCAGAGGATGGCCAGTCTGCGTCACCTTTCGCTCTCCTGCCTCGTCAATCTCGCGGGGTATGAATTCATCACCCTCTGGGTTGAGCTGGTCGGTGGTGTGGTCGCGGACGGTGGGAAGGGCCTTGATTACGGCCGGTTTGGTGGATGTGGCCTTGGCCGCGGGCGATGCGTGAAGGGGCGAGCCCCGGGGCAGGGGCGTCGTCTGGAGCTGAGGAGTCTGCACTGGGGGCGCGATGCCGCCGTGCGACGACGCGGCCGGAGGCTGGGAGCCGCGGGTAGGAGAGGCAGCAAACGCCTTCTTTGGCGGGCGACCACGCTTTTTCCGTTGGTTGATGTCGTCTGTGGGTGGCGAGTCAGCAAGCTCGCTCGCGTCGCGTACCGCCGCAGGGGGGGCTGAGGGGCGCCTACCATCGTCGCCATGCTGTGCATCTCCATAGTTATTCTCGGGCGAGCGACTGCGCTTTAGCCCTCTTGCCTGCGGCTGCGCACCGGGCTGGGACGATGAGGCTGCCAGACCTGTGGAGGGTATACAGTCAGCACGCTGAGCGTCTACGGCCGGCTGCGGCGGATGCAACAGCAGCGACGGCCAGTTACTTGAGGCCGTCGCGACACTGGCGATGGCCTTGTGCGACGCGGCTGGGCGTTGCGGGTGGAGGTGAGTGGGCGCGCCGGATTGCTTCCACCTACCTGATGGACTGAGCGTCGAGGGGTCAATGGTGCCTGAAGGATGCTCCATGACGCCGTTTCCAACGCCACCGTTTGCCATGACCTGGACAGGATGCACCGAGTACATTCCAGGCGGCGCAAAGGCGACCGAGCTCGAGCAGAGTTGCGTCGAGCGTCACGATATCGGGGCGCGCGCGCGAGGAGGCCAATGGGTACAGTGATGATGGTCGGCCGCGCGAGGAGGCCAATGGGTACAGTGATGATGGTCGGCCAGACGCGTGGTGCAGCGGATATCAACACGGGGCGAATGGGTCGACAGACGGGCGTGTAGCATAGAATGATGCTGATGATGTGGTAGTGGTGTTGAGGTTCGCGGTCGGTGTCAACACCGCTGCAGGTTCCCGTGCCAAGCAGCGACGGCAGGCGTCAGTGCGGAGTGCGTAACAAGACGGGCCTGCGCGCTGCGCTTGCTGGAGAGGCACTGATGCAGAGGGCGGTTGCACGATCGCGCGTGTCGATCGCGAACAGAGACTACGTTCGAGAATGATTAGACGACGCGAAACGAGGGACACGGGGACGAGTGGTGGCCCATGGCTATAGCAGACGGCGGGAGCAAAGTAAGAGACGCCACGCCACACGCCTCGAACACTTGAGGTGACGCTCAGTGGTAGCGGTGGCAAGCAGCAAAAGCAGTGCAGCGACGCGCAAGGGGGGCGGGGG